GCCATTACAACCACCGCGGGGAGAGGCAACGAATTTTTCTGTTTACGATGGAATTACCTTCAACCGATCTTTCTTTACGCTTCGACGTCGCTAGCGACGCGGCGGCCATTTTGTTTTAACGGGCAAAACCAGTTTATACGGTAGAAAGCATGGTGTCACTTTGACAGTTTTTTTTGTAGGTACGTAATGGAATAAACGAGAGATCTGTTGGAAGACCCTTATTGTACGTATCTTGAGGAATTTGAGATTTGCTTTGTATCTATTACGAACCAACGCAGGTAGGCGACGGTCATAGCGTTCGTCCCGTCTTGGACCCTCCATACGGTCGGTAAACCGTCATAAACAGGGATTCCTAAACATCACGTGCAAAATACTCGCTGTTCCTAAGAACCTTTCTTTATTGTATTTCGACATTGATTTCCAGGAATCCTAGAAAAAAATGTATACACCCAGTCCCACTTCTTCCATCTTATACAACAATCGAAACTTTTCATTTCCCACCACTACACAGATAGTTTTAAACAGTTAGAAGTCAATCCATCATGACAAGCGACTACGCAAACAGAAATCAGACAGTACATATTCAACCATCAACGGGAACACATCTATCAGTGAGAACAAACACAACTATGTGCAGATATATAGTTGCTAATAACAGAGTAATCTTTACTGATCACGATTCGTGGTTCACCCTGTATACGCATACATCATATCGTTGCATTTATTAAAGTGTGTTACCTAGTAGTGTTAAATTATTCAAATCGCAACATATCACCGTACACAATCACACCATTTTCCAACGTGCTCCGTGATATTAGTTCACCAACGAGCAGCAGCAAATCGTGGGTTTATCGTGAGTACCCAGCAACTATTTTTCTATCAATCCTTATTAGTAACGTGACAAAGTCAATAGTGTCTCATTTCTGCTTCTTACATGCCTGCTTCTCGGTTACTAGAGATTCTGTGCCGCGTATTTTTTCATACCGCATGCGACCTATTGTTTCTCAGTACCACTCGATTGGAGTGTATCAGATCCATTGTTAAGAAATGAATATATCACGTATAACTTCTTCGGTTTCCGAGACTCTGCACAATTGTGATTCAAGTGTTATCTGGAAAAAAGTGGAACACATTCATCTCTAAATCTTGAAATAAAATAGAACTGTCCCTTGCAAAAAGAACTAATATTAAAAAATTAAATATACTTTCCACATGTCTATTAAATTCATATTTACCATAATTTTCAGAAAGTTAGTACATGAATATTGCATAAAAATGACAGTTCATAGTAAAAAACGACTGGTATTAAATTATACTTTACGAGCACAGCACAAATTCTTAGACCCTTTTCTCACCCAGTACATTCATGCCAGTGTGCGCATTCGAGGAAGATCCTGGGACGGGAAATCGCAGGCTCGAAATCTCGACGTTATCGCGATACCAAAAGGGGTGGAAAACTTTTCATCGGGGCAGGTCATTGGCCTACAATCGAGAGATACACCGGTCGGATAGGGCACGCGATGCATTAAGACCGAATTTAGTCGACGTGTACCGCTGCAATTCGGTGCATGCATTCCCCCGGTTGCATATGCATTCGCGTGACTCGTTCGGCTGTAATAAGTGAATTCAAGTTCCATTCCCTCCGTCTCCCTCGTCCGCCACGAACACCGCGGCTGACAAACTCGGCTGCACAGGCTGGAAATCTCGATCGTTTCGAGACGGTTTAACGGTTTCCCGTGGGACGACTAAGGCCCAGATGGTTTTTCGACCGATCCCCCATTCCATGCAACTGCGATTTCCAGCCGTGAACTATGGATCCGGCAAGACCGACGGAGGCTTGCTCGCGTGTGCGCTCACCCTACCACCTTGCGGGTCATTGATTTCCAGCGTGTTTATTTGGAGTACTTTGCCCCGTGTTTGGATTGTACGCTCGAACGTGCTTTCTCTGCTGCCCGACGAGATTTTTAGTAACTCGCCTTGGAGGAAGTTGATATTACCATCGGTGAATAAGTCGTTCACGCCTTTCGTATACTGAATAATTGCAGCATCGTAAGATTTATTGATTTATGACTAGACTGCGGATGTCTATGCAAATTCACAATTTAAGGGCTCTGTGGAAAAGGAGCACGTGCAAATACTATAAGTATACACGACAACTACTTTTAGGAAAGCTAATTTTCTCGGGAAAGTCGGTATTAATTTGTAGTTATTTTTGTTGGTTTGCAAGAGAATCGTTCTTAAAGATTTATCTAAAACGTCTGTATTTATGCTGGAAATAAGTAGAAACGGAATGCAATGGACAGACGTCCTATTCAATTGCACACGTGTCCAGCAGATTTTCAAGTTAGATTATTTCCGAAACGATGCCTCTGATGAAAAAACTGTACTCTATATTTTTTATTCATTTTCGCATAAGGAAGCTCCTGCACGCCTTTCGATCTTGTATAAGTGACTCAAGTGTGGAAGGTAAATTCGTAAGTCTAGTCGAATCAGGACGATTTATCTTTCCCTTTATTACTATCCACCTCATTCAAAAAGAAATAAAAAAAATCCTATCAACATCTTCAATTCCTTTCAATTTTCTCAGCTGCATGCGATATTCGAATTCTCTTCAAACGTGCCGTAGAAACACTTCGTCGGAGCATAAATCCACGCGATTTAGCTTCTCGCCGCGGGTCGTCCAGGGAATCGCGAAACGCCGATCTGGAGTTGTCTCCATCCGCCGGAAAGGAAGATTAGATTACTTAGAACTGTCTCCCCGAGTTTCAGCCGTAAAGGGTTTTATCGCGGCGAGGGGCACGGATCGGGTGGACGGGAAACGGAAGGACACAAAAGAAATCGAACGCGTTGCCTCGTCGATGTCGTAAAACTGACCGTGGTACAGGGTTACCGTTCGACGAAGTCGGTTGGGAAACAACGACCCGGCCCCCGGGCATTAAGAAAACTCGCGAGTTCAATAAACTTTCGAATAAAACGGTTGAGTTATTGATCTTCTTGTTACGTCACGTCGCCTCTTTTCCACCTGGCCGCTTGGAATAGAACCGTCGACTGTGAACCAGCGCGTGATGCAGACGCGAACGATCTGAAAAACCGACTCGGATCACGGGGAAAATAACCATCGTGCTATATTGTTCTGGGATCGATCGAATGTTCATTTAATTCTTAGTTTGCCGGTGGAGATTTTGTCTCCACAAATTGTCCTGTGGAATGATGGATACTTTGATGCTTAAACAGTCAGCTTTTTTATCGGATTTAATTTGAAATGTCTGTTCACTGTCACATTAGTTTCGTTATTGAGTTCATTTAAACAGTATGATGTATTTCGGGAATTTCAGATGGTTCGAAGGAACGAGACTGTTTTATTAGAATATTTGCAAGTCGTTTATGTAGGAAGAATCAGTTTGACAGATGAAATGAGTGGAAGATTGATCGTGGGGTAAATGTCACAATTACTGTCGGTGCCTCTAATACTGCCATGTTATTTATTTTATTTAATAAGAAGGTAACGGAAAAGAATTGCATACATAAGGTTTTATTATTACACTGGTAAAATGATTATATGAAGCTATGTTACAATCTTAAGGTGGTAGTAATTGGGACATCTACCTTATATGGAAAGCGAATTCATGTATTAGTCATATACCAAGTCACTAAGCTTTTCTATCGTTATTCCTATCGTATAAATTTATTCATTATCGTTTACTAAAATTAGTTTCGGAATAATTTCCTTCAAATGTCTGTTTCTATTAATTTCAAACGTATTTGTTAAATCTATATAATAAAAACGTAACCTAATTTTTATAAAAATTATTAATAATTTCATAAATATTCTTATAAATAATTAATTTGTTATTTTTATATTTATTATAAATAATTAATACATAATTAATTAGTAATTATTCTTTAAAAATAATCTTATAAATAATTTCGATCGAAACGTGCGACACGGTAGATTCGGTGACGAACAAACAGCCGGGCATGAACTTCGGTGCAATGTGATTAATGCGAGAGATTTATATTTGCTGAAAGGCTCTGAAACGTACTCGTTGCGATACGAAAAGTAGAGCGATGAAGCAGATCTTTACAAATGGTTTCACGGAAGCTTTGAAGTCGAAAATCGCGGAATACCTATTTTTCATTTTCGTCGAAGTTGCGTCACGAAACTCGCGCCCGAAAGTTTTCTCTGGTTTTGATTTATGACCTATTTTAAAACACTTTGGGCGTGCTGCGCAGTATGGTTAGACGGTGTGGTAGCGAATCGAAGAAATATAGCGTAGAAATAATAAGAAATTCGTAAAGAGAATTTCAACGGGACTAACCAGAAGGTATGGTAACCAGAAACGCAAAAAAAAAAACCAGTCGATAGTTTCGTGTTATAAATCAATTTTAAAACTTCAGACATCTACTTTCCGTGTCAAATTTAGCACAGTAATATTCACCGCGAACTAGTGAAAAACAGTCTGGCGTCGAGTCAAGATAATAATCAAAATAAATCACCTTCCACGAACCAGGCATTCGTTAAGATCATTCCAAGATATGCCAGCACCTTCGAGATACGAAAAATAAACGATCTGCGACACAATATACTTTTTATCGTAACCAGCTTAAAATACACAAGACTTATCTAACGAGTAACAAATTACGTAACATAATTATCATATATCGCGTTACAGATCCTTTTATCGTCGGCAAACTGTAATATCCATGCTGCAGGAAGCACAGCAAGGCTCTACGAACTGTTGATTGAAATTTATAATAACTCGAACCGTTAATCATTAGAACGGCCATATCGGCCAGATGACTCCATTGTGTTATCCTACAATTAACGATGGCCAAATAGTGCGGTTATTGGACGCAAGTGCTCGTGAATCGATAATCCATCCATCGATACGACCCAATTCTTGATTAGACGACCAACGTACCAAATCCACCGATTTCCCTCGATTTTCGCGACCTGACGAACGTCGAACTCGTAGCTTTCGTTGCTCGCGACCGATGGTTTAAGCCCCGATAATCCGTTTGACCAGGTAACCAGGGAAAGCGTAGATCCCGCAGGCGAGCAATAAGATGAACAGCAGGATCAGGAAGCAGCAGAGAATCCGCCATTTGTAATAACGGCAGACCACGTAGCGAAACGCCTTCCACGGGTTCCGGAACCAAGAGAACGAGGTATCCGGTCGGCTGTAAATTACAGGAAATAGGATTTACTCGTCGCGATTGGCTGTCTCGCCCCCCGACTCGTGAAAAACGATCGTCAACCGTGTTTCCGAACGACGACTACCAATACGGATCTCGCCTCGCGGTTACCGACTGTAAATTTTAATTATGTAATGGCTGGCGTAATGGCGGTCAGGAGTTTCGGTTTAATTGCATCGGGAATCAATAACCTAATCACCTAAGTAAAATACGGAAACTAGTAACTGTTGAACGCTGTCCCGTGTCGATTAAACCGTCTACATTTCCAGATTAGTGGATCATTTAGTTACCTTGACGGGAAATTCAATTATCCGTCGCGACGATGTGTTAATAATTAGTATTCTAAATTTTTAGGGGGATATGAACGTTTTTCGGCACTAAAAAGTTGTCAATCTTTTGAGTGATTGAGAGATAACTGTTAGGCCGACTGGATTAATTGTTGTTGAGGTATGAAAGTGCATGTTTGTATAGTAGGAAAATAGAAGGAAAAATTAAAAATTGTTACAAATATGGGGTCTACGTGCAGTGGTGTAGAATTGAATTTTTGGAACCGCCTTAAACAGTGGGCATGATTTAGTTCATATGAATGATCCGAATTCAAAACTTAGAGTTTTCAGAAAATTGTGGTAATGGTAACAGTTTGAAGGAAAATGTGTTACTTTCCATGAAAATACTTCTGCATATTACATCTGTTTCTTTATATTTCCTACTTTTATTTATAATAATCTCTTCTACTCTTTACATAATCTAAGTTCTATGAAAAGAGGAAAATCCGCGCAAAAGGAGAAAGATGTACATTTACTATAATGATAATAATGATTATGTGGGTCCCTTAAAGAAGTTTAAGAATTTCATTTTTTTTTTCTGACCATACACTTTTTCGCACAGATTTTTCTCGTTTCACGAAGTTATGTGTCATAGTTTTTAATTAAGTTTCATCGTACTTTGGGGGAGGAAGTTCCTGAGGCGGGTCTCTTCCTTTGCCTGCAGGCTGCTCGTCGGCTTCCCCCGCTTGGAATATTGACATTTCCAGTTCGACTTTCCCCTGAATCGATACATTACTCCACGTGAGTCTGTGTCAATATTTCACGAGTGCCTCTTCCGAAAAGAGTGATCAATATTTCGCAATATTTCCGAGCATACAAATACTCGAAATAAATAATTCCGAGGAGGGCAGAATTATTCTCGTGAAACGTGACAGGACGTTAGAATTTCAAACTGTTTTATCCTTACTTCTAGAATACGACGTCTATTTCCATAAAGCGTAAATATTAAGACGTTAAATACCGCATTCGGTCACCGATTACCGATACGGTCACAGACGATGAATCTTTATGAAACAGAAAATAATACCTTGTTTTTCAAAATTAAAATGGCAGTAATATTTCTAGCATTTTTAATCCCAAATCGATTTGTAGTCTCTTCATAATATTTCTTGCACAATTTCCTAACATTTGTAAAACATCTATCGCATCGTTGGCCGCATCGTGTAACGTAAACAGAAAATTCAAAGTCAGCTCGGTACTTAACGTGTTAACAACAAATTCAAATTTTTAATGGATTATTCAAGGAAATGATTTTTATGTAATCGAACTCACCATTAACAAATGCACAGTTAAAAAAAAGAAAGTTTTCTGCTAAACCCCCTAGTTCCCCAAACATTAAAAAAACTGCTTTCAACCCGCAATATTAAGGACTGTTTTCACACCTTCAGTGTGGACAATTGTTGATATACAAAAATACGTTTTTCCATATATTATATCCTACAGTGACTCACACATTTGTACAGAAAAGACTGTCACATTCTTGTGACCAAATTGCGTACCAAACTTCGAATTTTATTTTAAAACTCAGAAATATACGTCACAAAAAAGGATGATAAAAGTAACGGTAAGGAGGATATATAAAGAGGAATTGCATAAAGATCTTCACACTTAATTGTTATGTCGAAAGCATGTGTACGAATCGTTGAGTCACTGTATATAAATGACATTAAAATCAGCGTGTGTGGATTCGATATGTTTCTTCGGTCAGATAAAATGGTGCATGATTTATCGGCACATTTATTAACGCGATAAAAAAATTTGATTATCAACGAAACAAACCGCCTGAACGTAGCTTCCAGTTTCAACACTCCGTTGAAACGGCCACCAAGCTCTGATCCTCGTCACCTTGAACAGATCCATGGTCGGCAATTTTTGATCGAGTAGATGAAGCGTGCAATTTTTCGAATTCGGACTGCCACGTGGCATTCTTGATAGATCTATAGCCAGTGCTCCTGGGGAACAATCGATCAGTCAACGATCCCAGTTTACATTCTACGGCGATTCCGTAATTGACTCTACGTTTCGGGTGGCTTTCAAGAGCGATTACCGAGGAAATCGTCCGGAGAGAAATGATCACTGTCCCAAACTTGCAGCTGCAATTTGCACGGTAGTTTCTCCTCGGTTTCGCTTCTGGCAAGGGCCGACACCTTTCTGCGTACGAACATCACCCTCTCGCCCTTCGAGTACGTGACGCGAAATATGAATCTCCAGTTGAAGTTGCCTTCGCCGGTCAGGGAATTGTAGTGGATATCGGTCTTTTGGTGATCGTCGTAAACGATCCAGCTGTAATCGAGTCGATCATCGGAAGAAATTATTACCTTTGATTATTAACTGTTATTTTCGTATGGGGAAAATATAACTATTATACGGATCCCATTTTTATTTCCATGCAACAGGTTGTGGAGATTCATGCGTTCGGAGTATTCATGAAACCGGTATTCGGAGTATTCATATAATTATGAAGATTTTGTTCTGTGTTTATTGTAATATTGTTTCTTTCTAACTTCAATTTGAGAGCTTGAAACTGTGAGAATGGGGGTGCCTCTATACAGGTGGTTGATTGAAGTGTGCAAGTAGTACACAAGAAATGATGTTGGTAATTATATAGATAAAATATACCTTGTCGATTTCAATGACCGTGATGTACAGGGTGTCCCAACATAGGTGTAAGTACTTGAAAGGGATGATTCCTTGGGTGGTTTGAAACAACTTTTTCCTTAGCGAAAATGTTCACCGAGGCTTTGTTAAGGAGATAACATTTTTTCTAAGGAAAAACTTGTTCCAAATCACCTCACTAGTGACCCATTTCAGGGACCTACAACACTTTCGTTGCACCCCATGTAATAACCATGATGTTTTTCAATATGATACAAAATCAAAATGTGAAAATACTAATTATACATGCAGCCCTCTTTGGATTTTCTTTCTCAACAGTTTCAAAGAATAGATAGTTCGAAGCTAGACCAATCATCCCTGTTTCTACTATGAAGTTAAACACTGTCATTCTATGTACATGAACTTCTTTTGTGATTATTTCTTTCCCGGGAAATATAAACCGAGTAGTATCGAGCTAACGAGCAATCCTCTGTCGCCAGCTTTTATTACGAAGTCGTAAAGTGAATTCCTCCTGTTGCAGCGGGGACGATTTAACACGGTACCATTTTGTTCTGCGAACGTCGTTTCCGAGCGTACCCTTTCACGTATATGTCGGAGCACTTCTCCCCGGTAAGAAATTGGCTATCGACGAGAGGCACATCCTCGGTATTCCAAACGATCACGCGAATCTCATATTCCCGCGGTACAGGAGGGCTGATGTCTACCGCCGGTTTCGGTGGTATCTCCTCGAATTGAAACATGTCGATCCAAAGGTCCAATTTTCCCTGGAAAAATATCGATTCAGACACTCGGATATCATCGTCTTTAGAACGATCATTCTATGTTCACAGGGTTGAATAGAAAAAGCTTCCTACATTTGCGTTCTAGGGGTAATATTTCACTAATAAATCGATCCTCCTTGCTTCATGAACTTTAACGATTTGTATTTCATATGAACTCGTCTGAAAGACATTCGTAAATGATATTCCTCCATTTTTAATGGTACAGTGGATAGAGGATTGATTTAATATCTCAAAATAAGATAAAATAATGGAATAATTTAAATACATTTGATTCGAATTCGATATTCCCGTAACTAATACTGAGTGGCTCTGTATTCATCTTCGTACTTCAGTTATAAGAATACCAGATATAATAGAAAATGCACTACCGATCTAAAATATGTGACCAGAGTTCATGATGAAAGAAGAACTCATTATTCTGATTCGATGTAATAAATGTTATGGAATCAGTACATATACAAATCATTCCCATTGCGTTTCAGCACGTTATTTTTATCAAATGTTTGTAGGATAAAATTTGTCTTTATCTTTAATTATCAGACCTGGTCCCATAATTTTTGGCCGGTAGTGTATATCTGTAGAAGCAATATACACTACCGCTCGTAAGTATTAGAACACCTGGTCTGTACGAAGAAAATATGAAGTTCTGCAAAAATGATACATTTCAGGCCACGTTTATTACCTCATTGTACTGAAAATCGTTGTCCACTGAGCTTTAATATTCCCTAAACAATATTTATTTCAGACTTTCGACGATTTTCCAAATCCTTGTAACATTTACCGCACATTCGATAAGTGCCTTAATAATTATAAAGGGGAGTGTATCTACTTCTCTTCTTCATTCCTGACACTTCATTACGTCATATATAATAATAAACTCGTAACACGGCAAACGCACATGTTACTTCCCAAACCTTCATCGAATTCGACAAAAGAATACTCAACGAAAAGGCCAGCCCGCGAAATGATATTTCCCTTGGGTTCGCTCGCTAGCCAATCAAATCCATTCGCAACACCCTCAAAGGCAACAAAGCCTCTATTCCACCACCCCGGATTCCCCTGTTTCGCATTCACCGAATAAACAAGAATCATTCTTTTTTTTCTCTATAACCTGCTCCAAACCGGGCTTCGCGGCATTAAATAGGGGTCGTCTTTCAACGTGTTCGGGTACCAGGGCGAAACCGCAAACCGGAAAATCATGCCACTGATGGAGCACGTTCAACGCCATGCATTCTTCCCTGTCTGTATATAAGAGAACCATCGATCACCGATCAAATAAAATATCTCTTTTCCTTTTTTCCAACGATAGATTAATCGTCGAACCGGACCGGTCTCGTCCGTCTGCTGTCCATCGACGACGAAGGGGAATCGTTTCCGTCCGATTCTCACGTGGTCCACCCTGTACTCCGGTAACGGAAGATTATTCTTCTTGCAGAGATGATCAAGGATCCATGACGGTTTCTCCCGATCCCGCCACATATTGTAACCGTCCGTGTGGTACGTTTCCGATATACCGCACGTGGCACGGTGTCTGGTGTAGAACCGATTCTCCAGATCGATCTTCGTCTCGCCTATGAGATCGTCGGTAGACATCGCGTCGTAATCCCACACTTGGATGGTCAGTAGATAATCGTTTGGTAGGGTGGCTTCTATTTCGAACAGCCTGAAAATGTTGGATTGAGGAACCGATGTCTGATATAGGGTGGATTTGTGAATTCGAATTTGGGACGAAAAACGTGACCTGATCAAAAACAATTTCATTCGAGCCCTTTCTGATTTGTTGAAAAAGAATAATTATACAGGGGCACCCCCTAAATAGGATCACCTAAAGATCTGCCTTATTTGTTGTATGAAAAGACTTTCTAGGACAAACTTTCTCAATCCCAAGGACCATATGTAACGGTGAACAAAATTTTTCTCAAGGTCATTTTCTCAGGATATTCCAAGGTCGTGGATATTTTTTAAGTGAAATCTTATATAGTTTTTTTTTTGTATTCTTTTAACCATACGATTTTCGACCATTTAATTTCGTGATATTTGTGTCTGAAGGTAATTAACACCACATCTAACGAAACCATCAAAAGGGCAGGAATTAGAACGGCAAAATCGGTCATTTCATCTAGTATGTTTAATATTAAAATTTTCTAATGATTCACGCATATATCAACGGTTGCATTTGTGTACGAATATGCGATAGTGCCATCTGAATCTTTAGGAAATTATGTGGAATCCATCCTGTGAATGTGTCCCACATTCGTATGAACACCCTGTATAATATCCTAAGGCGAGAAGATAAATAATTGTGATCGGACGTTAAAACGTCCTGCCTACCGTCCGAATGTCGGGTTCAGCTGGTTAGCTATATAATTCTTCTTGTCGTTGATAAACGTTTTTCCAAGTCTGACGCAGAGATACGGGTCGGACTTGCCGCTTAGGGGATCGTTAGGCTGTAAATTGATGCCTGCGGAGGGGATCGATTCGTTCCCGTCAGTTTGTCCCGCGTGTCGATGAAGACGTGCCTTACGTGGTACTCACCCTTCACTACGTATAGTCTAACCAGAAGCTTGACTGGCTCTGGAGACGGATAATCATTGCAAATGCCGTGAAGCGCGCTTCTGCCGTTCCTTGTCTTGCAGGGGAGGTTCCTTGGATGAGGCCAACGATACACGGAAATACGTCCCTGCAAGTTGAATTTTCTATTAAGTGTACCTCTGATTAATCCACTGTTTTTCACTGAATAGTACCTTAAACAATAATCATCGTTTGGCTGAAATTGTGGGATACAGGTCGCCGTGATCTTTTAAATTTTAACTATTGCGTTGATTCACAATTAAATTCGACTTCCCAATTTTTTTATGATATATATTCTTCAGTATTATTAAATCTGAGAATTGTCGTTAAAATTGAGGGTCTTTATTATTATTATTATTATTGTTCGACCAATAGATTCAATAAAAAATGAATGTGGCTTCAACAATAATTATCGGTGTGGTTAAACCGTGAGAAAAAGGTCGACGTGTCTTCTAAATTTTAACTATTGCGTTGAGTATTAGGAAATTCTATTTTCCAAATTTTTTGTGATGTATGTATTCTTCGGTATTATTGTAAATCTGAGAGTTGTTTTAATAACTATTAAGGGTTTTTAGTATTACTATTCCTTTAATAGTTTCTAGCTGTAATCTGAGTGATAGAGATAAAGTTTACTCGTTGATACAACTGGCATTTTCAAGGAAAATGCCGATCAACGAAGTAAACTCGAGGAACGAAGATACTCGTGGGACTTCGTGTCATATTGCGATAAATAAAGTGAATTATTCCGCGAACGCCAAGGCACGAAACGATTCTATTTCCGTTGATGAAAGTAGTCCAACGGAATGCAGTCTTTGAGTCGCGAAATTGTCGTTTAATTGTCCGCCGGAAAGCAGACACTCATTTCTTGGCGACACTCCAAGTTCGTTAATGACGGCTTATTAAGCGGACTTTTAACGTGTTATTTAAAGGTGACGGAGAGGCATCGAGTATTTTTAACTCTTTGTGACACGTTTTCTTAAATAGTTTTTCTGTTTACGCGGGGAACAGAATAGAGGGAAGTTTATTAGTGAATGAAAGACCGCAGCCTGCAAGTAACGTAAAGTCTTTAAGGCCTTGAAGTCATCACAGCATAAACATTGGCCATTCTGTCGTTAAAACGGTTAGTAAAGAAAACGGAACTTTCCGATGGACTTAATACACTTTATACTGCTACTCTCAACTAACAAATTTTACGTTAATTTTAAACGTTGCGTTTCATTTTAGTTTTACTATTACTTCTTATAAGAAACAAATTTATAATTGTTATGAGATGTTCCAACGTAATATTTCCATTATTTTCTGTCATATTCTACTACAAAAGATAAATGTTGACAGGAATAAAAATGTCCAAGTACACGTCGTATGTTACACTCAACTGTTAACCACTTGGGTACATTTAGCGAATCAGACTCCTCATATATTTTTTGTGCTAAAGTGCAGAATTACGAGTCTAACTCGTTAGTCGATTTCAAACAATATTTAGCAAATTTAAGCTTGCACGCTCAAAGGTCTCATGTGTCACAAGCGCAAAAATTAGGACGCAAGACTGCCTGCAGATGCAAAAAAGCCAAGCGCTGTTGCATTTGCCTGAGTGCTTCATACAAATACCCGTTCAGGACTATTACTACATTAACCGGTTTTTCTTATTTCTTGAACTTTTTTCTATTTTTTAGCACCATGTAATATATTACAATGGCCTGAAATTATCCTCAATACCATGGGACTCATTTTATGAAAATAAATATATTTTTTGTAAAAATATATTGATTCACGTTTGAAATTTTGAAAAAAAATTAAATCGGATCCGTGTGGAAAATTTCTTCAAGTTAAATCAGCACTCAACGAGTTAATCCTGAGCATCAGCTGTCACTAAGGACCTCCATTGGCGTTTAGTGCGAAAAAAAAAACAAATTTAACCTTTTAAGGCTTGAATTATATTATCTACCGCAATTTTTGCTCCAGAAATTTAAAAACTGTTGAAATATGATTTTTTGTTTTCTTTTATTCGTATATTTAAATATAGGGTCTCTGAATGCTAGCACAAATTGTATTACGTCCCAGAGGACCTCAAAGAAGTAGTAAATATTTCTAAGTCCCAGTCGAGTTCTAAGCATATTTTTTCGTGGCAGCATATTGTTTTACTACAAGTGGCACTACAAAATAACCGTGAGAACATAAACGTTTAATCCAGACCTTGAACTTCCCGACGTAATGATCGCTGTCATAATCCGGATCCGCGGCCCTCCTTCCCTTCCACAACTCGAACGTTCGAAGACGATCCTGAAACCCTGCGAACTGCGGCTGCATCTCCAATTCCCCGTCGTATATCTTTATTTTTTTTTACGTTCAATAAGACAGCTGAGCTTGTCGATAATGTTCTAAATTGTGTAGACAAGTACCTACCCTGAACGTCGCGGCGAGTCTGCGAGTATCGGGAACCGAACTCCCCAGCTCTCTGCTTCTCTCCGCCTGGAAAATCCCTCACTCGCGTTAGCACTCGAGTATCCGTTCGGCAATTTACATATATCGGATTACTCGCGAGACCGATCCCCTTCCCGTCGATGCTCGCCTACCTCGAGGGAAGCGAAATATTTACTCCACCAATCGAGCGACTCGTCCTCCATCTTCCTGCGTTCCATCATTCTCCTCTTTCTGGTTTTTTCACCTCCCAGCAGACTCGCGAACATCCTCTTTACCGAGCGCAGGATCTTACGGATCCACGAGGAAGAGTCCTTCCTGGCCATCTTCTTGTACGAGATCAGACCCTTGTTCTCGTCCCTCGATGGATCGTAATCGATCGGCAGCGGCACTTGATAGATGAAATATGGTGATTCGTGACGGAGGGAATGGAAATACAGTAATTTCTCGATCAGTGCGACATGCTCGGGTCCGCTTTGAAGCATTCATTGTAAGACGAAAGGGTTTTCAGCCCCTCGTAAATTTGTTTTTTATCCAAAACGGAGCCTCTGCTTAGCTTCTGTTTACTGTGTTTTGATTTATTTCAGAGGGGGACACTCCAGTGGTGGGAATAACGCCCTTACTCGTGACGCAGTCATCGAGGGATCACTGTATTTTTTTTTTTTTTTTTTTTTGAGGATTCGTTTTCGGTGTGTGGATTTTATTTATCGAATTGGGAAGGATTCTGGGAGGGTAGGTGACAAATTAATTGGTTAGTATGAAATATTGTTTTTCTCTTTTGCAGACTGGATTTTTTCGGGTAAGGAACAATATTGTGGGAATGTCGTGTTATATCAGGGTTACTTGCGACACAAAACATCGAAATTTCTGATTTTTCTGAATTTATTTCGCGAAGTTCCCTGTAAATTATTCAAACAAGAAATAAACGGAATGTGTTGGATATCTAGGCGAATCTTTTATTCACTTTTGTATATTTAACCATGTATATTTTATGTATAATCCGATTTTCTGAAACGTCTACAGAGTAATCGATCGGTAGTAGTTTATTCTCACTCTTCAGCTGGATTACTTAATGTTTCCAGACACTCCCGCAGTGGCGAAAAACGTTTATACCGGGCCTCAAAAGTGGATAAATGTTCCCGGTGAACTTTAATTAACAAAGTTTTCTGTTGCGTGCAGACTGGGACGGGATTTTCCATAGAGTTATTAACTTCCGGGAGGGGAAAGTTTCGAATCAATGTGCAACTCTTGGCGCTCAACGACCCGGCTGAAATATTTAATAACTAGTCGCGATGGGGGAGAACACGTTTCGTACGTGCAAATATACGAAGCTCGTGTGCGAATCATCGTGCAAACATCAACGGAATTAAATTGTTATTATGTTTACGCTGTCGGTGTTTGCTCGTCATTCCATTGTATTTGCGTTGTTTCTATGGAAATTTAAATACGTGGCGCATGAAAGCACTGATCGCTTCTTTTACATCATACTGTGAGTCTTTGCTTTCGTTTTTTTTTTTTGTCAAGCAGATACAAACAGCGATGGATTCTCTCGTCTATCCGAGAGATTTCAATTCATTCGTTATTTCTCTCCTGGTTCTGATTCAGTTGTGTTGTTTTTATTGAATTTCGACGGAGATTCGATTGAAAGTATTGATTTATTTCTTTATGTTATGATAAATTCTATATAGCGGGTGAATATAATATCTCGAGATATTTTCAGCTGAAGGAAATTGAAATTTCTTATACATGCAATATGTTCCACATCGGTTTATACATTCGTAGGCAAACATAAACATAATTGTTATTGGGAATCATATCTAGAGATTCAATGTTTGGAACGGTATGGTTATTCAGGTCATTGAATGTTTTATTGTTTATGCTCTGTAAGGTTCTAAAAAAAATAGAATTCCATTTAAAGAAATATCATACACATAAGTGACCTTCATATAATTGTTTTCTACCATTACTGTATATAGAAGAGAATAGCCTAACTTCATCCTGAATAGTTTTTTCATACAATGATGGGTAACAGAGATACTTACATGATTTCATTTAGGTAGTCCACACTGTATAACGAATAATATTCGCGAGTAAAAACTTACAAATGGTGAATTGCTTCTTCGTCCAAAGCGGCTTCAATTTCGTATCGTGTATCTGTGCGTTGTAATCCTCTTCCGTTATTAATTGCTCCAGGAAAATCTTAACGCTCGGTATGATGCAGATCCCGGCATACTTGAAGCAACCGAATCCACGCGAGTCAAAAGCTTTTATAGTGACGGAAGGGTAGTAGACATCGAGCTCCGGCATATCCTTTGATAAAATTCATACATTGCATCGAAACTTTCAATCGCTTTCATATCCAAGAGCAATACGTATCATTATTTTAGATAATATTATAGAATTTAAAAAAACTAAAGGCTTTACAATTTATTCATTCATTTCTCTATTACTTTGTTGTAAGAATGTGCAAAGTGAATGATTGGCAATATCTTGTAATCTGTAGATCCACCATAAAAAAAAAATCATATATCGAAATCCAATACTTCAAAGAAGATACATCTACTGTTACTTCTGTTCAATATATGAAATACTACGTAAAGATGCAACTTCTTTTTATGTCCCTGAAAAATTCTATGCTTTCGACTTGTAGACATTTTTCTGGGGCACGTACGAAATGAAACTTTCGCTTCATATTTCTGAAAAATTATACAGGATGAGTCAATAAAAACTACTATCTAAAATAACTCATTACCTATTAGTTATATTAGCAAACATTTTAATGAATTATTCATTGAAACGTTTCCCGATACAACCAGTAGGCAAGGAGTTATTTTAAATAGTAGGTTCTACTGACTCACCCTGTATATTTTCGACTTGTAAACATGTTCTCTTGGAGCACATATGAAATGTTTTAGAGTATCGTTACCAAGTCAACGACAATATGTGGTTCCTCGAAGTTGCCGAACTTCTTCGCGTTCTCCATCACCTCCGATTTCACATCGACCCCAGCGCACTCGATGATAATCCGTGGCTTAAGCACCGGCACGTAATTCATCTTCTTCATGTCACGGACCCCCCAAAATATAACTTCGAGCCTGTAGCTCGCCATTTTCGGCCTGATGTCATCCGGTATGTTGTATGTAATGTCCTGTCTCGAACCGCTTATCGGCTTGTCCGTTGTTTCATCTTCTCCTACCTAAGTGACGCGCGGATATTTGGACAGGGAACATCTGTATTCCGCGAACTGACGAAATCGTTTAACTTTGGGACACGGATGGAAATGGATGTCTCGTACAGACTGTTTCAAACGTTACGTCTCGACAAACTTCAGCCTATTTTCTTCGAAAGACTCTACTGACATTAAAAACACACAGTAACGTCAAACGTTCCTTTAAAATCTTCGCACAAAATCCCATTTCTACTGTAAATCTGGCCTGTGTCCTTTATTATTTTGCAATCTAACCAGAAATTTCTGTACCTTGAAAGTACAATTTACTTAAATTCCACTTGTTCAATCAAGTTGCCATTGGTTATTGAGTACTGTTTTATATTATGCAAGTGTATAATAAAAAAAAATGAAGGTTTTAGTCCATAAAGATCGAAATATTGTTAGAAGAACTTTGAGGAGTGAATCTACTTTGACGGCCGAAAAAGTTAAAACTATCTTCAGAGAATTTTTCCTCGGTAAATACAATATGTAATGAAATACATATTTTTAGTATTTATACAACTACTTATAGATAATATAAAAAAAATAAATAATTTCATAATATTTTGTTTTAAGTTTTTTGTTAGCATGAAAGTGTCTGAAACACAAAAATTAAATAAGATTTTTAGTTAGTATGAATGTCGCTATCGCCGGAACCTCAATAAATAATTTCTCTTAAAAAATAACAAAATGGCGCAGGACCAACTAAAAAACGAAGGAAATGTAAAAAATTACTTTTTTTGGTGATTTTTTTATGTATAAAGTATGATAAATTAAACATAGAAACATTACTATAGTTTCTGCGATAGCGACACGTATACCTACGCCATGGAGCTCTTTTTGGGGATGCCATATTCATGCAAAGAAAAAATTAAAAATATAATAAAATTATTTTTGTAATTCTTACATATTATTTATGAGTAGTTCAATAAATACGAACAAGATACATTTGATTACATATTGTATTTACCGAGTAAGAAATCTTCGAACATAGTTCAACCTTTTCAGCTGTTAAAGTAAAATGACCCCTTAATCTTGTCTTCGGACCCATCAAAATAATACCCTGCCTCCTTTCCTTCAGCTACAAGAAAAGTGGTCACCTCTTTCTAATATATTCATTTCCCAGACAACTCTGAAACAGCCGGTACATTGCAGTATCTATGTTATACTGAGAAGGAAAACTACACAGTTGAAAATTAATTTGTAAAAGGTAGGAGAGAAATCCGTGGGGTCTCGGGTAGGGCTCGTGGCGGCGTGAATATCGATCAGTGTTGCCTTGTTCACCTCTATGAGCTCGAATGCAGCGAGCACGGAGCCGGTGCAATCCCTTTGCGATTTAAATGTGTACCACTCGAGTTTCGGAGGGAAATCAGGGGGCGAGTAAGTTTCCGCCGCGAGTTTAACTAATGGAACGGCCGTGAATCTTCCGCAGAACTCCTTGATGCCCTGCGAATCCCGATTTCCTTGAGCTTTACAAGCCAACCATATATATATACAATTACGTGCTACGTGAAACTGCGTCGACGCAAGGCAGTCGTGTAATTAAACGAGGTCGCGTTACCAGGCATTAATTTCATTAACTCACGCATATGTCCTGATCGAAGACTTCCATCGTCACCTTCGGGGGATGGTTCTTGATGTTCTCTTTCGTACCGTGTACCGTTCGCGGCGGTAGGATCAAAGTTTGGTCCCAGAAAGGATCCAGAGTCTGCTCGATAACCTGAGAAATGTTCGTTGCTTCTAAATCCTCTTAGATAACACTGAGTGAGTAACCGTTAAGTATAAATCCCTGAAGTAAGTGTATGTACACTTAGGAACCTAGGGGTTTATATCGATTTGACGGTTTGTAACAATGCCCTCTGGAACCTCTAAACCTGAGGGAATCTTGTTAGCAGATTTGTAACTATAGTTTCGCTGTGTATAAGCTCCTATTGGTTCCAAAGCGTCACTAATCGATCGCCTTGTTATGAGTTCTCCACTAATCTCGAATTATAAGAACAACCTGAATATCTTGGCTGTTACTGGAGATACAAAAAAAGGGTATCGAAGAGCACATAATTTCATTTAAATAGTTTTTTATTGGTGGACGCGTAGAAGTCATATGAAGGTCAGCTTCGTTTCTTTAAATAGAAAGACATAATCCTTTAAATACTAGGTGGTACATAAAACAACATATCTTTCCATTAAAAAAAAAACAAGTTGACCTTCATATAACCTCTACGCGTCCATCTATCAAAAAACTATTTACATGAAATTATATGGTCCTCGATACCATGCAAGTTTGGTCTGACACATTTTTTCGTATCACACTTACATTTTACGTCCCCTTTGACTCGAATTCATACGAGGAGCTAGATAAAAACCGAAAGTTATCAGCACAACCGTCAAATATAATGAGGATACATTTACCAGCTAGAGAGTCTCTTCCACAAAGGAAGACTCGCTCGTAATAATAACACAAGTTCCTATGCACTTGTCAGAGATCGGCGGTGAATTATCGAGCTACGAAACTTACTCTGGTGGTGGCTGTGTAACCATGAAATGCAACGCGTACGAGTGGATCCAATAAGCCCGATGCATCCATCCCGGGATCAAAGCGACCTTGGAATATGTGAGCGCGTAATTGGAATACCTGAAATGCAAAATACGATGACACGATGTGGCTGACATTATTTTCTTCGGGGATATTCCCAGATTGCAATGACTGGTACGGTTTCTACAGAGGTTAACATTTCTGGAATTATAAATAGCCCACGGATATCTCTGCTCAATTATTAGTAGTTTGTCTCTTTCATTTGATGGAATTCAAGTGTTGAGCATTGTTACAAGTACAATAGAAACTCACTAAACTGTAATTTCTTTTAAATACTTCAAAAAAGTTTATTGATCAATGGTAAGGAAAATTGAATTTTGTTGTGTATAACAACATTATAATGGGAATTATTATATATAACTGTGATAAAAGGAAAAAAATTATCCAATACTAACGAATTAAGAATGGTATTAGTCAGTTTCCAAATATTAAAATGTTCCTGTGAATCATTTATATGTCATGTAATATACACAAAAATGTTAGAAAATAGTTCTTTCGTAATTTTTAAATAATTTGGGTATGAAAATAATTTAAGACTGTTTAGGTGTTCACCTTATAAATGGTAATGTCTAGATTCTGCATAATTGAAAAGGAGAAATGGTTCCTCAGATTGGCGGTAGTAATAGAAAAATCACAACGATCAACATTAGTCTTCAAGGATATTTTTTCGACTGCGAAAGCAGTGGGAACCCTCTAAACGACAGGTGTGATTAATTGGAACAGGCAGGAAACCGCTTTGACGATTGAAACCGCCCATTCAATTGCATTTAAAAAGGCGTGTTCGCTTGGGGACTTCTTTGCAGTTCCAGAAATGTTTAAATTACATTCTACATTAACGTTACGACCGCCATTGCGATTTCTGTAATTTCTCTCCCTCACGTATCACCATGGACACTTGACACGTCTATTCGTTAACAGCCCTCAATTTCACAGTAATTGGATCGTTAATAAATCTTGTACGTAATGATAGTCCGCCACAGAGTTTATCACCTCAGAGACACATTAAGTGATTAGGTCACCCTTGGAGACCCAAAAATCATATGTGTCAGAATTTTTTTAATGAAATTATGAAATAATCGAAAGAACTATTTTAAGGGCTTTATCCTGCATGTCTTTCAGAATATAAAAAAGAATTGTAAGAATTTTTTGTTAACAAAATGACGTTGCTGGTGCTCTTCCATTTTTACAGATTTTGAAAGATCCCCCTCCTCGGCTTGCAGTAGAAGTCCCGTATGCTTTGTGATGTATCTGTTTTCTATGTGGGCGCGTAGAGGTCATACGAAGAACAACTTCGTTTTTACTAAATTAAATCGTACATTTTACAAAAACAATGTTTTCAATAAAAGATGAATGATACAATAAGCGTTACAAACTCGTGTTAAGAAGATTCCGAAAACAGGTTCTTAAAAAATGTTTTTCAAGTAGAAGCGTTTTCCAAAAATATGTTAACACAATTTTATAGCCTTTATTATACCATTACACTTTTATATATATATATATCAGTGTCATAATTTTGAAATAACTGATTAAGTCTATTGGTGTTAAAAAAGAGTTAAAAAAACTCCTGGAACTTACATATGATTCTGGGGCCTCCAAGGTAGCCTAACCCCTTAAATTAATCGATAATGAACTCGATTCGCCAGGGGGAGAAGAAACTCTCTCGAACAAAAAAGAAAGCCAGCTCAGTTTCCGTTCCCTATCCCGTCGATTCGGTCGTTAATTAAAACCGTGCCAGCGGAACACGACCTTGCCCCGAAACATCAAAAAAGGAATTTGTTATATACCGTGGACCGTGTGTACTGCACGTATTTCGGGAACGTGTCGACGCTGGTCTCGTGCTCCACTTCGTATCCCGGTGGAATGGCGGACCAGCAAGCGCCGATATACTCCATATTTCCAAGCCAAAGGAAAATCTCGATCTTGGAGGCGGCGTAATCGACCTCGTCGTCCTCGTGGTCCCGTGGATTCCTCATCAAGATATCCACCTTCCGGCCGCACATACGCCCTCTCTGGATCGGATCCTCCGAGTAAATTAACTCCTCGGCCGGAAGTCGCGAGCAGGCGACACGTCTCGATCCAGCTATCATCCAAATGAAAACGTCCGGAAGACTGTGCTGCGGCTGGTAAATTCGTAATGAGCACGCGCACGTCTTTCTCTCTCTCTCTGTTTCGCCATGATGGAACATCTATCGAGACACCGACGGTATGCAAAAATTCTCTAGGTCAAATATTTAACGAATCTGCAATTTCCACCCGCTAGAAAGCGCAGCGTGGTCTGAGACACGCAGACACACAATTTCTGGGAATTCACGCTGGAAATCTTCGCGGTGGAAAAGGTAGAAACTTTTATGACTTCGTGCCACGTTTCCGTCCCATAAATCACTTTCTTCCGAGACCAACCGGAAAAACGAAACGGAAAGTTTGCACGGGCTTCGAGAGCTCTTCCTCTGTCCTTTCGAGACAGACCAGTTTGACGGGACGAAGAACAGCGGGGATTTAAATTAACTTTGTCCAGCCCGAAAAACACGTTCTTTAAACATTTCCCCGAGAGGAAATTTTCTCGGATCTTCAATGAAGAGTCATTCGAGTTGTGTGATTAATCTACTAGGACGGTAGATCGGGGATTGGGGGTCTACTGCCGGTGACTCGATGAAGTTCCATTATTCTTTTCGGACAATTTAATACGAGGTGCCTCCGAAAGTTATGTACAAGCGAGCATGAGGTGATACTACGTGAAAAAATAAGTCAAAAATATAGAGTAACATTTTTTCGTTTGAGACTTTGTTTTCGAGAAAATCGACTTTGAACATTCATCTGAAACTGTTATTATAAAAACATTTAACATATATGGTTGGCATGATTAAAAGCACTAAATTGATTTTTTCTTAAAACAAGGTTTTTTGCAGATACGTCTATTAACCCTAGTAGGGCAAATAAGGACTTATCTAGCGTGTCTGTTCGTTGCATTCTGTTTCTACTTATTGTTATCAGGAACACGTACGCTTAGATGGATTTTGAAAATTTATTAGCATGCAGAGAATTCAAAAGACTAAGCCATAAATAATCGTATTTAAGACTTTGACTGCCGAGTCACCCAAATATGGGTGTCACGTACATTGCAAAGAAGCTGAATTATTAAAAATACCATTACAAAATTTTGGCGGAAAATTAATATCACAGTATGATTTCAAAAATCAACAGCCTCTATCAACGAAACGCATGTAATTTTGACGATTTATGGCTTAAAAAACGAAATAAAGTATGTCTGGCTACGTATGGCCCTTTTCACTGTGGCAGTTAACCTGTTATGAATATACATTCAATAGCTCACTTGTTTTTGAAGATACAAAAAAATGTGAAGGGGAAGTATTATTCGGTTAAAAGGAGCAAATCCTATGATTAGCAACAAATTTTCTCAAGGTCATATTTTTCGAAATTTCAAGGTCATCGATTTTTTTTAAAATAGGACTACATATATTTATCAGCGTGGCATAATAGTTGAGATCAAGACCAATCCAATGACATAATAGTGTGACCTTAAATACGAAAAATCCACAAATGTGTGATAGTAGATTTAAATAATAAAATAACTACGGTAGAGGGATTAGTGCACAAATGCGTCGAAGTTGATGGACATCATTTTGAGCATTTGTTAAAATCATTTTTCTGAAAATCAAAAATAAGCCAGATATTTAAGGTGCCCCTTAATAAAGCTATAAATTAATAATTGAAAAGAGTATGCTATTTTTGAAAACGACAGCCCGACAAGGGAAAAGATATCCAACAATTGGAGAATACAAACATTACGGAATTATGTAACTTTTGAATTTACGTAGATCTGGAATTGACAAATAACGACTGCAGTCCTGAATGTAGGGTAAGTTAAAAACAATGAAAAGAAGAAAACAATAGAAATAGTGAATTTACGCGAACATAAGAGCGGCCAATAACCATTTCACTCGCGTACTTATATTGGCACAATAACGATCGGTTAAGTGTTACGATCGCCTTCACATTTCCCAGAAAAAGTTTCTTTCTCGATACGAATGTAGAACAATGCGTCCGTAATAGCGTCCATCACGCAACGACCATTCAGATACCGTGAATATATCGGAATCGATTCTCGATGATTCGAACGTTTCGTTCGCCACTATGCTTGTTCCGTTCCCCCAACCACGATTTGCTTTTTATTTCCCCTGGAAAAACGGTCGGTTCGCGTGAGGAACGAGCATAAAAGCCGACTCACATCTGCCCGTAACTTCTTCACGTTTCTCAGGTACTGGTACGCGTGCACCATCGCGATCCTCGTGTACCGATTGCTCGGCAGCTCCCCGTTGATCTTGATCCTCCGCAGCAGGTTCTCGATCTCTTTACGGCAGAGATTCACGCGATGACGATCGAGCCTCGTGGTGCCGCCACGGTCGTCGTATAGGCCCGCGTCCAACGTATGCAAATAACGAAAGCAATACTCCTTCAAGCTGCGGATCGTTTCGTTGTAGAGTTTATAAGCCTGGGGATCCTCCAGCGCCACCAGGCCCTCCAGTTCCTCCAACTTTCGTTCCTGTCACGGGGGGAATTAAAATCATCCTCGAGAATCGGTGCTCCAGTTTGCAAACAAAGTTCCCAATTCGCGACGCCGCCTGTGGGAACTCCGCTCGTGGATCTATGAAATATTTCTTTCGTGAGAACGACAAGCTCCGTAGGCCCTGGAGTTACAAGTGAATCGACGGCGAATTTACATCTCGAAGTCAGGGCATTAAATTTTTCGCGAATTGCGAAATTTTTGATCCTGGAGTTTCAATTAAGGATCACTTTCGTGGAGATTTTAAGCGAGGTACTGTGTTTGAGTTGCTGGTATCGGGTAAGCTGAAATTTCAATCATTCGTATGTAACACGAGCAAATCTACGCTCGTATAATTCCGAGGAATGGAAGGCACACACGTAAATCGGCTTGGACCTCAAAGTTTTTCCCTATGATTTACTATTCTAGTTCTTACTTAAGAGAGACGTACTACTACGTCAACCGACACAAAAGTGTTAGTACTTTAGCTGTGTATTACTTTTACTGTTAGTACTTTTGAGCAGTGTATAATATCAGAACAAAAGGTTCAGCAAGATAAGGGTGCACCGTTCGAAAGAAAATTCTTTTACTCAAATTATTTATACTTAACACTTACAAATCAAAGCCTCGTAATAAAAGAAAAATCGATGTATATACATCTTTGTGATGCTTCGACAAGAGGTGTACGCTAAACAAACAAGATCCATTGACCAGAAGTAAGAAATGTGAAGCATACTAGGAAGTCAGCGATGCGACCCAGCCTATTGCTGTTCAGCATCCTCCACTCGAGGTTCGGCCACCAGGACTTGACGTACATGCACGGTTTTCGTGAACCAAGAGGCAGATAATTATATTTGCCATCCAGCGATCCAGTCAGTCGTGGCACGGTACCGCTCTCGAAATCCGGTCTCCGTTCTGGCATCCGGTTTCCTGTAGAGGATTAATCACATTTTACGGGTTCGGCGGAGAGGGAGGGAGGTGACCGACCGCGGGCACCAGAACGCAAACTCAAACCCGCGGAACGCATTAACAAGCGAATCGGGTCGAGAGCGATCCGAGTGGATTCTGGGAACGAGTGGCGATCGAAATTCCTCGATGTACTCCGACCACTTCCGGAAAAGAAGTATTGTAGCGGAGGCACTCGCATGGATACGATACCGTCGTTATTATTGTCCTCGAAACATTGGCTGTACGGGAACTGTCTGTTGCCTGCGTTCCCCAGGCTAACCTCGAAGCTTATTGACTTCGTCCAAAATTTTCGGCGATCGATCATGCTCACGTCGTACAGCACCGCGACCAGGCAGTATTGCTCAGTTCTCCATAGACGATTCTTTGAGAAGGAAAAATTAATATAGTAATATTGAAGTGGATATATTGGATTTATAATTAATTTTTCATGCATTGGGTTGTTAAACAAGAATTCTGAAAATGGCGTTGGTCACTTTTCCGAGGAAAACTCCGTTCTACATGGACGTTTCTTTGAAAAGGAAAAATTAATATAGTAATATTGAAGTGGATATATTGGATTTATAATTAATTTTTCATGCATTGGGTTGTTAAACAAGAATTCTGAAAATAGGGTTGGTCACTTTTCCGAGGAAAACTCCGTTCTTCATGGACGATTCTTTAAAAAGGAAAAATTAATATAATATTATTAAACTGGATATAATACAATTAATTTTCATGTATTCGGTTGATCAAAAAAAAATTCCAAGAATGGAGTTCGTAATTTTTGTCTGACGAAGTGCTCCTTTAACACGTTAACTGCAACAGTGAAAAAGGCAGTACGTAGTCAAACACACTTTATTTTGATTTTCAAGTCATAAATCGTCGAAAATATATGCGTCTAGTTAACAGAGGCTGATAGTCTAGTTTTAAAGTACACGGGGATATTAATATTACGCAAAAATTTTGTAAGTGTATTGACATAATCCAGATTTTTGTCATTATATGTCACCCATATTTGAGTGATGTGGAAGTGAGAGTGTTAATGCAAAAGAAGAAACAGCATTCGTACGGATGAAATGTAGGACACAGAGTAAGTTCAAAGAGCGTTCGAATCTATGATACATCTGTGGTGTGATTGGCCCTAAAATAAGACGATAGGTCAAGGAATGAGATGAGAGGTCAAAGAAAAATAGTGAACGGACAATAGATAGGAAAAGAAAACTGATCAAGCTTACCTCGATGATGGGTGCCGTGGGTTCTGTTTCAGCGCCGATTCGAGACGACGTTTCTGGATCTTCCATTTCCGTTTTTAGGGAGAGAAGAACTCGTCCACGATAGAGAGGAAGCGCTGTCAAGCACTTGCCGAAACAGCTGTTCCTTTCTGTACTGCTTGAGCCGTAAAAGTGAAGGAACGATGGCCCGAAAGTCGGCAGGAAACCTTATAAAGGTGACAAGGCAATACATCACGGATACTTTATATTTCTCTAGGAGAAAAGCGAACACCTACGGTCGAGCTAGAACGTTTATCTTTCCTCGTGTCTCGTAGTCAAGACCGCTCGTAACGTAATACTCCTCTAATTAAATATTTAAAAATCGGTAAATTTCAAGCCAGTTATGTTAAAAGTAATTTACTGTTCTTTATTCCTCCATGGAAACTGACTTTTTTCTCTCTATTTGTAAATTTAAACCCATTTAAATCTCAATATCCGCATCTACAGCCTGTATCTCGACGGACTAAAAAACAACAAGCACCGAAACTCGTTTCGTTCCGAACGAAATTATCGGCCATTTTGACAATATTTGATCGGCTAGCGCGAATAATGTTTTTATACTTCGTGTTATAAGATCGTTATAAAAGCGAAAAATGAACGGGAACAGACCCAAGGCGAACGAGGAACAGAAAACGAAAAGGAGAAAGAACACAAATGACGGCTCGATTACATCGGTTTGGTGTGTTACACTTTAGTTTCGCGGAACATAGCAGAATTATTCGGCCGTCAGGTGTTTAAAATACAAAAAGAACGGGTCAAACAGGCTGTGTTATTTAACGTATCGTTTGCAGCCGACTGTTTCAGTTTCGTTTATACGACAATCCTCTCTTTTAATTCATTTCCAACTCTTTGATTCGGTAGTACTTTAATCGAGTTCACCGGTTTTCAATGTGTTCTCTCTATTGTGCGGGGAAAATGTTTTCGAAAAATTCGCGATAAAATTCGAAAGGTCATTCATTGTGAACGAAAACGGAGAATTGTATTTAGAACGAAAGCGTTGTTTGATTTTTTTGGGGGAATTTGAGAGAGCAAGTATTCTCATTTTTTTTTTTCAAACGTAAAATATGTGTTAAAAAAATATTCTACTTGAATTACTATGAATAAAGAATCACACGTTTTACATTTCAATAATGCCTGAAACTTACCGTATTCGCCGGAATGTGATATCTTGCTCAAATCGAGAATGTGAGAAGCCACCACGCACGTCTGATAGCTATTGAGACGATGCTTTATGGCGATCCTCATGCGTTGACAGAGGGACGGGAACATTTCCTTGAAGGTAATTTTCTCGTTAAACCTTGGCCCATATGTCTGCCACGCCTCGCTCGTCGTTCCCTATAAATTATTATTACACGATTAATAATTACTAATTGCTTACACGTGTACCCACGGGTTCGATTGCGTCAATAACAGGAACGATTTCCACTACGATCCCCGTAGACCGTAATACGTAAACACCCGAAGGCTAAACAATAGTATTAATAATATTGCAATTTAATTAAACGCATCCTGCTGTTATCGTGACATACCAAAACTATGAAGAACTTTCACGTAATTCTGAACATTAAATAGTTTCTAGGCTATAATCACAGAAACGTATGAAAATTTGAGATTAACATAAGAAATTAAGGTAAGAATTGTATGAAGAGAACATCTGCATAACAAGAATATTGACACGTGAATATACTCACTGTTTAACCCTTAACTGGTAAACTAGCTCCGAGGAATTGTATGAATCTTTTTAAAATATTCTATTCTTATTCCACATATGTATAATTACTTGAGGAGGTGCTGCCTTATTTCAATATCTCCTTACACGAGAATGCAAAACAACTAGTTGTGTAAGAAGCAATAAGATTTGTGAATTGTACGATTTGTGGAATAAAAATAACAAGGTTTTCACCCGACCAGTTGAGGGTTAATTTTAGGGTGAACGTACCTTCATTCCAGCGAAAGATATTTGCACGTACGGGTTAATATTTTCGAAATCGCTTTTATAGCACATGCTGCTCATATCGGGCAGCCCATCAGCTCGATAAATCGTGAAAATGTATCGCGCGTGTTGTCTGAAGGGCAACGATTCGCCTCCCACGGGCAGCAAGAGGTTCCTGCAATTGTCCGATTCCAATTATTTCGTCAACTAGCTAATATTCGGGGATTCGGTGGAGCAATCTCGAATCAATTTCGCTACACGCGACCGGGGGCATGGAGTAACATTAAAATGGATGCTGAAACATTTTCAGTCACCGGGCACGGTAGAACGTAATATGTATGTAGATGAACTGTTACACGACGAAATTACGAGGATACAAGTGAAAAATTTTGGATAACGCGGAGAGTTTGTGCACCACAGAGAAGATTGAGGGTAGCGATCATTGATTTTTTATGCATTGTCGGTATAATATATTGATTATATCAGCGAAAACGATACAGAATACATGGTAACAACTAAAACAATATGATATACAAAATGTAATGGAAAGTTATATGAATTGATGACAATGAATTTTAATGGCAATGAATAATGGACAGTCAACATGTTTGACATTTGTATTCATATGAGGAAGAATATAGAAAAACTACATAAATAGCGAGTAAATATGTTTTCTAACAGTGTCAGATTGTTCATTAAATACTCCTGAATTGATATCGTGTGTTAATACATGTCGATTGTTGCTTTCTTAATTGTGTTTTAATTTTTTGTAATGGATAGAGAGATTGGTGGCGCCATCTACGACTAAACGCCCAAGCTACTAGCAAATTAGTACCATTTCGGTCTTGCCAGATGGCAAAATTATCTCTTTTAAGCACCTGTTTCATTAAACAGTTAACATTAATAAAGAAACGCGAGAAGGAACAATAATTATTGTATAATCTTGATACAGCAGACATTCAATAAATAGTGAGACTAATAAATACAATCTATTATCATTAAAGTCTAATTTCTTAGCTTGACGATCATGTCTGTCATCAGTTAAACAAGTATTGATTGTTAAAAACTTAAAGTTCAACATCTCTTTGGATAACCAATAAACAGCTGAGTCTATTGGCCATAACTTGTAACAATTATTTATGCTTTATTACATACTATTATTGAATTGATAATATCTGCAAGACATTCCATGAACTTTCGCGTCATTTAAAAATTGGCGGGAAATATGTAACGTAGATGGCATGCGCGACAGGATCCGTAGTTTTGAAAGTTCGGGCAACCGACAGCAAACATACAGTGGGACAGTGTACATTAGTGCTTTTCACCTAAAACAAATTGGAGTAATACATTTCCAAGGATGGAGCGAGGTATGTAAGTAGCTGAATTCCTTTATTAATCGTAGAGTAAGCTGAAACGCGAGTGTTGGAAAACTTAAGAACCACATACATAAAACACATGGTTTTCGATGCCAACCTCCACAGTGAGATTTCAGCAATTATTACTATTTATCTTGCAATAATCAATTGTTCGATAAATAATATGTTCAAATTGGCTACGATTTTGTTCAATTGACTCTTATTGCTGGGACTACATATACCACGTTACAACTAACCTTATACATATCTCGTTTTTGATATTCTATGTATTCATTAAGGACCCTAGGCTTTACTCAAGCCCATGGATCTGTATATTACAGGGGTAATCAAATATATACAGTACAGCTTATTTTGAATGTTAATGTTATAAATAAGAAGAAATTTTTGAATTATTTGTAGTTCTTTCACACGAGGTTTTGATATTTTTATATAGGGCGCATAAAAGATATGGCAGCGCTATCTCTCAACAAGAGTATGATACTAATATGCTAGTAGCTTGGGCGTTTCGCCGTAGATAGCGCCACAATTTCTTCCAATTACATTTATCCTTATGTATAAAAAATTAACTATTAATTAAAAATTCTCCAACCTATGATTCTTTATGTACGATATAAACTCAGAGAAATTGAACAATTAATCCGATATCATAAAAATAATATTTAATCATAATTTGTGGCGACTTTTCTGTGTCTCTTCTTGGACGTTCACAGAACACAGTATGTATTCATATATTGTGCACAACATATAATATAAAATATTATAATATAAGATATTATATATTGTGCATATGATATATAACGTGAAGATATGTAGCTTATGTAATTTTGCTCACTAGAGTAAAATGACTTGATCGTTACAATAACATAGTTTCCATAGTGAAATTTATAGAGTATATGATAGAAAATATTTATTCAACTTGTTAATTGAAGTTCTTAAATTACCCCTCGATGTCGTCCTCACCCTCTGTCTCCGGGTGCCCCTTCATTTTCTCCCCTTTTACATTAATTGCGATATTACATTTAACGTAACCTTTCGGCCCGGAACCAAGGTCCTTTGGGTTCGTCAACATCGCCCACTTGTGATAATATTGGCGATCTGTCCAAACAAAGCACCAATATTATAATGCTGCGGGAAATAATTCCCAGGCCCGTTAACACACGCCACTTTCGAATTATGATCGGTAAATTAATGTGGTGGAATATTTGTCAAAATAAGTTTTGCATTTATTTTCAATAAAGTTTAAGCACCTGGTTGCTCCCACACGAGGGCTATTTCGAAACTTGCGCTTCCATGGAATTTCAAGCGTAGATAATGCTTTATGTACACAGCTATTATGATTTTCGTACCCAACAGTTCCTCCATGTCGCAAAACAAATCGAATACAAAATACTGAAATTCATTAAAAATCGTGTGATCGACACGGTTAACCTTTTGAAAGTGAAAATTTGTTATTTTACCTCATTATAAAACGGTGTATCGGTTTTCTCACGGACCACCGTCTTTCTTTTCCGATTACCAACTTTGACCACGACCAAAGGGTTCGCATTTTGCGGTAAATGCCTCGCTTCTACAATAGTAACGCAGACTTGATAAGTGGTGGGCCGAAATTTCCTCGGACCCATCGCGACTCGATAAAATCGATATTCTATGAACTTCACTTGACTTGCCATATTTAAAGTCTAAAGGGTACTAAATTTATAATACATTTCTGATAGTTCTAACACAGACGAAATATATATTCTTATACATATACATATTATAGACAATTTTTTTAAAGTCTTAATTACACTAGCAACTATGCCATTTACTATCTATTTTGCAAACAACAAACTTTCGCTTTTTCTTTTGCGAATATCTCATTAAATATAAACGGTGCGATGGGAACAATTTTAGATTCCGAGGAAGCAAATTGGGAGCAATTTTTTAATATTCTATTAGGTCTATTCAATATCTCGGCTGTGCTTTTGACAAGCTTTTAGGTTATTAGCACAGATAGAGTCACTATCGAACTCTTGAACAGTTTCTTTCCAACATAGATGTCGTCATCATATAAATTCCGGTGAATTAAACTCTGATGGTAAAAAGTTACCAGATGGTCAGTAAAGTAGAAATTGATCGTCTTTTCTATTCTATCGGCAAATTATTCATCTTCCTCTGTTTCTCTTCAATTTATTAATTTGTTTTTATTTTAAAACAACTTCAACTTACAGTTACTCAACACTTCTGTCAGAAAGCAAACGAAACTTAGATCACCTTTAAAATACAAATAATTGAACCATTGTAGAGTATTCGATTTCGTTGCAATTATTACCGAAAATCCCAGTGAACATACCGTTGCTCAAAATTGATCCAGCGAAGCGTTCCGCAATAATCAGAGGGTCCGCAGAATCGCAACGCCCACGAGTACTCAACGCACCGGATTTAACGCTGACTTCTCGGAAATAATTTTTCTGATTTATTGAGCCGGATAACCGAATGAGGCCAATTAAAACTGCCTCGAGAAATATTTCCTAGAATTGTCTGCGTGTCACACAAATTATATCAGACAATTTTATTGAAAATTAATCCAGGTAACTTAATAAATAACGTACAAGTAACTTGAATCTGGGATTAGTAATAGAGCCATAATTTTCAATCGTAAAGGATTCCCTGGAGAAAAATGAAATCGGTATGAAAAATTTTCGTATACGTGGAAGAGTGAAATAAGTAATAAATTTAATATTCTTCTGAAAATATCAGAGGTCAGAAAGTGTCGAATTTCCAATTTTTTCATCCATGATTTCTGCCTTTCGACGCGACCGAGCCAGTGTAGTGGCGTTTCCACTCCCTCGCGTTACAAGCCCCGAAGACACCCCGGTTTGTCAAACACAAGTGTGCACTTCACACGTCAATTTGCGTAGCGGCGTGTAAATAAAAAAAAAGAGAAAAAAAAACGCCACACCGTGACGCGTTTCAACTCATTTCCTCGATTGTCACAACAACGAGCATCGATCGAGCCGTCGAAATTAGTCCACCGTGAGTTGCGATGATTTCCATACGCCCCCTCTACTACAATCGAATACATAATTCACTAAATCCAAAGTGATTTTCCCACTGTGTAGTGTCGTTCACGCTTCACTGTGTAAATCGTATTTGACACGCAAATATTTCGGGTAGATAAAAAATAATTGAAACACTGAGAATACAGAGAAACGTTTGAAAAGGTGTTTTCTTCTTTTGTGTAAGAATAGATATATTACCAGGATCTTGTTTCCTATGATACTTTCCTATACCTCAGAATTGATGTAAAGTTAAACGGGAGAAGATTTGTTAATATTGTCGTAATTGAAGCAAATGTGACTTAGGAACAATTTTGCAAATTATCATTTCTAATATTGGACGAAGTAGATACTGCAACAAACAAACGATTACTTTGACAGAGATTACCAGTAACCAGCTCATATATGTTCTTAACTGTACCAATTATTACCAAATCTATCACCATTTTTACCAATATAAAGAAAAGGACAGTATTTTCAATTTGAACCTGTATTATCACCTCATGAAGAGAATAGCGAATTATTAACCCCCGCAGGACGTACCCCCTAACCGCCCACCATTCAGTGGATACAGGGTCCAGTCGGACTCGTACGAAGAAGTTTCTATTTTTGTCATTGAGTATTACCTTGTCCATCGCACTTTTATTATTTTCTGTCTATGGAGCCTCGATTTCTTAGAATACTATTATTATCTAATGGTTAGGAAACAAATTAATGCATTTACAAGGTGTAAACAGTATTTATTGATTTTTAATTACGACACACAATCTTCATTCTCATCAATCATTCCCTTACTGTATTAAATGCTGCTTTATTTTCATGCTGTTTGATCGTTGGCCTCACTACTGCCACGACCTACAATTTTACATCTTTCCGACTTCGTCGTATCATTCCGAAATTGAATTTGAAAAGTAGGAAATGAAGTAACTAGACGCAGCTCTCGACGTGCAACTGTTTATAAACACGGGTCAGTTGGCACATGTAATAAAAACGGGTTAATTGGTACACTGAACCCGCGAATGTCGGTGTCTGAGTCCATTTTGACCCAAGATTTCAACTAGAGCGTATGGTTTTTCGTATTAGCATTTTATAAGGTGGCTAGTATATTTTGTTGAAAATCATTCCAAAACACATCTTGAAACGGATGAATAGGGGTCTGTCTGGACCCGAAGTATGTTTATTCGATGATCAAAAACGTCTCCCTTTCGAGGGTTAATTACGTAGTGTTTCGTTATGGAGAAGGAAAGATTCATTCCGTCTGGTTGAGTGATCATTCAGGGTAGCGTAACAGTCAATCGGCGTCAGGTATTAAATTCCTCTCGACACGGAAGCTTTCTGTAATATCGTCAGGAATCACGGTATCGGTGACACACGGCCCAGATATCACGTTCAGATAAAAACGTCACGTTTTCGCCTCGGCTAGAGGGCAGACTATGGAGGGGCGTGTGCACGCAACAGACGGGCAGAATAGCGCAGGGCGTACGCGCGCAATTCAGATGCTATTATAGGCACGCGGTTTATTTCGACACGTGTCTTTACGAGCCTCAAATTGCTGTCGTTTGGTGTCCTAAGTATGGACTTCCGACGTGCCGCGGCGAATCGTGTGTCCCTCATTCGCGCTAATTGTCGTTGGTGATTTATTCGAGAAAATCGTGATTTTCCGAAATCTTGTTTCCGAATAGTTGTCTCGTTTCGTCGACTTGAGACCTTCCTACGGTGGGCGGAATTTTGTCAGTAGAGAAGAAAGCTGGGAGATCAATTTATTTTCTAGTGAATAGATGGTGTAAGACTGTCTTTAATAAGCGATTGCTACAATGCTGATGTATGTACAAATTGACAATTTGGGACACTAGCATATGGAAATCAAAATTGCACAGAATTTTGTGTCCTGTATTGGGCATTTTAACTTATTATTATTTTATAAATTTGAACATACGGTGAACAAATGATCGAGATAAAGAAGATAAAAGTAAAACAAAAGGACATAAAGATAGTGTGGATGCACCAGTAAATGAATACGTAACATTACATATAAAAACGAGTAAACTAGGTTATTAAAATAACCAAATGATTAAATATTCATTTTTTCCAATGCCTTCTTTCGTATTCAAACCTATTTCACGTTATTGGTTAGAAATGTTCATTTATTTAATATTTGTCCATTCACTGGTGAAATCTGTATTTTTTTCTTTTTAATTCAATCAATCAGATTTTTCCAATTTTTCAAATTGAAATCTATAAGTTATAATAAGGTATAGGCATTAAAAAATCTACTTTTTGTTCGCCGAATATGTATTAATAGTATTTAATAATTACAAAATCTCTTAAGTGTTCAGTCATTGGTCCGTTTACCCTAGAAACCGATTCCACCAAATTCAATAATCACAGAGATCAACAACAACAACACAATTACAATAAACACCCTGTATATACATCTAAATATCTCATACGCTCCATAAAGAAAAATGAAAATACCAAACAAAATCTAACCACAGTAGCAAATCCAAATCGATTCGTCCAGAATGAACGATCATATTAAACCGTGTGAAACACAGCGACAATAAAATACCAGCGACGACGTGTCGCGAGTATGATTATCATCAAACGGTCGTTCTGACCAATAACAACGTATCAAAAACCCAAGAACGAAATAAAAAAAAAAAATGCCCAGAAACTACCATCCAGTAGGGGGTCGAGTGAAAAAAAAAATCGTGTTCCTGCACGTATTAGCGGTGGGCTTGTAAGTTAACCCCGCTAACTGTCGTAGGACACGAGCGTGGAGCGTGCCCCCCTGTGGGGGTTGCGCCATTGGGGGTGTTCGTTATATTCCGAGTCCTTTTGAAAGGGTCACGTGCCCGCGGCAGCCCCCTCGACGCCGATATCGTATTTGTACAACACGCATCCATTATTGCAATCCGGCTGTTTGTGTGTTTTGCGCTCGCTCTTTGTACCACCGGCTATCCTCCCGAACGCTTATGCCAATGCGCGCGCGCTAGCCTTTCGTTTTCTTTCCCTGGAATACGGCGCGGCGCCCTCTCGGCTTTTCGCACACTTGTCCTCGGCTCCGCCTGAGCGTAGACGCGGCGGGCCCATTATTGTGCCTGTGAAACAATGAGCACTCCGCGATCGCCGGGCCACTCGACGGGAACAGAGAGAGGAGAGAGACCGAGGCTCTTTCGTTTCGTCGGATCACGTGGGAAAAGCGTCGTAGCCTTTTTTTTTTTTACTCTCCGCCCCCGATGAAAGGGAGAATATCGATGGGTGGTGTCGGGGCACTCGACTGGGGTATACACGCGTGTGGAGGAAGTCAGGTATTTTTTTTTTTTTTCGAGATCTTCGAGGAACGCTCGTATCGACGGGGGTTAGGTGCACTTTCGAAGTATCGATGATCCGTAGATGCGGTTCGGTCAGTCGAGTGCCACTCCCTCGAAGGTGGGGATTGAGTACTCGAGAGGAGTTGATTCGAATATGGTTGGAGGAATCTAGTGTGTCTGATGGAAGTACTTATTAGAGGTTCTATGAAGTACTGGTGGGCTGCTAGAGTGGTAGAGTCGTTGAGGGTGAATGGTGATGGTGGAGGAGTGGCTGTAGATTGATTCTTTTTGGTTCCCAGGTTTTGATTTTGGGTATGC